GACGGAGAAGCCGAAGACTGAGGTGCGTGCTTGTGGATCTTTGCGGCGGGCGGAGGCCGCGTGCGAGGCGCAGCTGATGGGCGTGTGCGGGCAGGCGGACGAGATGCTGGAGAAGATCTACTCGAACATGTCGGCGTGCCACCTGAGGCAGAACAACTGGAAGCGGGCGATCGAGACGGCGGACAAGGTGCGTGGTGTGCGCTGGTGCGGGAGAGTGTGTGGACGGGGGGTGACTGACTGGGACTGGGCAGGCGATAGCGCAGAACGAGAACAACTACAAGGCGCTGTTCCGGAAGGCAAAGGCGCTGGGGGAGACGGGGTACTTTGAGAAGGCGGAGAAGATTCTGGAAGAGCTGCTGAAGAAGAACGAGGCAGGTGCGTATGGGTCTGGCCGGCTGCTGCGGTGGGCAAGGGGGGGCTGAATGAGGGTGGGACAGATGCGGCAGCGATTAATGCGGAGCTGAGCCGGCTGCGAACGATGGACAAGGAGCGCGAGAAGGTTCACAACAAGAAATTCAAAGGTATGGTGTTGTGTTCTACATGTTTGTGCGGTGCTGATGGCACGCGATGATAGGGTTCTTGAACAGGGAGAAGAAGACGGGGGGAGACGAGGAGATGGAGTGAGCTGAGGCTCTGGGCGTGTTGCAGTGATTGAGGTTGTCTGTTCTCTAGGCTGTGCTGTTGCTCTGCACTGTATCTTTACAAACATTCGAGGTTGTACCAAGTACTTGTACTTGGAAAAGACACTGGTTATACAGACGTGCATAGCGTATACACTGGGACTAGTAGTGACGCGAGCGTTCGCCGCGATCGGATACGAGGCGCGCGCCGAGATCGAGGGACGCCGGCATCGTGTCGGCATGTCGGCAGAGTGGGGCGCAGCCGTCTGTGCCGCCACATGGGCGTGCGATAACGGGGGCGGGTCGTGTGCGCAGTCGCGGGGCCGGAGATGCCGAGGGGAGCCGACAGGCACAGCGAGATTGAATGGGCGATCTGTCGGGACCGTGACGTGCCAAGGAGGCCTGTCCGCCGCAAGCCCGCGCCCAACTCGCCCAACTCTTCGCCTCGTCCCTTCCCTCTGCACGTCACACGACCAGCGACCAGCGACATAAGCCCTTGTCACGGTCCTCCTCCTCCTCCTCCTCCTCCTCCTCACCGCCCTCTCTCTCTCTCTC